CCCCCCCCCCCCCCCCCCGTCCCTCTGCGAGGTGTCTGCATCTGAAGCCACGGAAGCCGAAGAGGCCGAGGCCTGACAGCAGGCGCCCGGCTGTGGCCGTTTGAGTTTGAGGGGCTTAGGGTTTAGGGTTTAGGGTTTAGGGTTTTTGATTTTGAGGGGTTTAGGGTTTAGGGTTTAAGGTTCACCCTGCATGGAGTTGTTTTTTGTCTATCGACTGTTTCTTGTGTTTCCTATCCGGTTTGTTGCCACATGGGGGAGGGCACACGGGTGAAGGTTTGTGCGAGCCCAAAGCACGGCAAAGGAAGGCAACTCAGCCTTCAAGACTACACAAGGTCCTGAATCTAGAAGTTACTGCAGTCCCATTCGTGTCCTTTTGCAACTGTTCCATGGTAGATCCCAAAACCCTATCTTTCAATTACGGAGTTAAGGAGGCCCAAAAGTATCCATATCTGTTTGGTCCGTGTTTTTTGGGGAGAGCGACTCGTTCTGGCGATCCTGAGACGCCCACGATCACCGATATTCCAATTCATTTGGAAAAGAGGCATGTCTACCTAGCCAACGCCTTGGCAATGGCCAAGAAGGACCCTTTCTATCTTAAATCTCGAAGAAGCACTCCCCTTGCACGGTTGCTGCAGGCTTGCTGTTCGTCAGGTAGCAGATGCACCTCAGCCACACCACCATGCCCACAGCCTTTCTTGAAAGCCTTATTCAGATGACAATGGTCGTTTCTTGAAGTAAATACAGTGTTACAAGTAGAAAAGCGCAATAATCAAATTCGTGTTGACCGCGCTGGATCAGCACAAGGCTTCTAAGGCAACCCAGCTCCTGCTCACTAATGGAGGGGCAAAATTATAGAAGAGCTCTATAGCGCAACATTCGCAAGAACTGTTTTTTTTTTTGTGTTTTCACGCGGGCCCCTATACTACGTACTCTATAAGCCCAGAACATTTCAGCTCGTGCCATTGGGAGCCGTCGCTGCGTCTTCCATGGCGTTGCGGCTTCTTGCCCTGCATGGCTTCGGGCAGAATGCGGAGGTCTTCATTCAGAAGCGTGCAAAGGAGCTCAGTTCTAAGCCAAATCCTGTCAAAGTGCATGTCTATAGACAAGCAGACTATAGACGCATGCATTGTTATGTTTCGTTATCAATTTATTTGTTTTTGTATGCCTGTTCGCTACCTCGTTATTTATGTATGTATGTCGTTCGTTGTTTCTTTCATTATGTATTTCGTTTATTTATTTATGTCATAACTTATACATGCATACATAGATATACATACGCACATAGATACATATGCGTATACTTGCATATATATATATATATATATATATATATAGCGTCACATGCATGCAAATAGACAAATAGATACAGAAACAAACAAACAAACAAACAAACAAACCATCGTTCCCCAGGAGCTTGTCCGAAAGCTCAAGGGCACTGCTGTCCTTCACGCCATCGACGCGCCGCACCCGCTGCCCTACGATGCCACCCTGAGCTCCTGGGTTGCGACCCTGGGGGTTTAGGGTTCAATGTACGGGGTTCATGGCGTATAGGGCTTAATAGGGTTTAAGTGTTTGAGATGCCTTGCAAAGGTTGTAGAGGTTGAAGAGCTCAAAGTTTTTGAGCGGGTTTAACTCGCATCTAGTTGAGGATATACAGGGGTTTGAGCACTCCGGCAACCATCGAACCATCCGGCGTCACCTTGAGGATTAGGGCTTGCGCGATGTGTATTCTGGCGCTGATGTGTCATTCCTGGAAATTAACGTTTCCACACCCTGATGTGTGTTAACCCCCTCCCCCCTCAGTAGCGGCGTAATGGATAGGGATTTAAGAGTTTAGGTTTTTAGTTTAGTGACTTGGGAGTTAAGTGTTCGGGGTTTAAGTGTGGATGGGGGTTTTGTGCCTTTTCGTGAGATCAAGAATTAGGGCGGAGGGCTTTGTGTCTGGGATGTTTTGAAAGGTTTCTTTGCTGGGTCTGCAAGTGTCATAAATCCTAGACCTAAATACCGATCCTGGAGCCTCCGGGCCCTCACTCGAGATCTAAACCCCACTAAACCCTTGACGGACCATCAAACCTTAAGCTTAAATCCCAGCTTTAAATCCCATGCACATAGAAATGCCTAGAGAGACGAGAGAGGGCCACAATCCAAACACTTCAAAATTCCATATCCCCCAGAAACCCCCGGCAGCACATGATTGCTTACACATCTCACGTTTAGGCCCTAATTAACCCAAAACCCTAAACCCCTAAACCCTTAAACCCCAAACTTTGGGATAAGGCTCCGGACTCAAGGTTCAGAAGCCTAAATTTCAGTGAAGCAGATCGGCTGCCCCCGAAAAAAACCTTAAGCCCTAAACTGAGTGGGTTTAGGGGTTTAGGCTTTAGGGTTTAGGGTCTAGGGTGTAGGGTTTAGGGTTTAGTTTAGGGGTTTAGTAGGGTTTAGGGTTTAGGGCTATCTTGCCGAGTTCATACATACGTGTTTCCAGAGGCCGACAGAGGTCGAGGCTCCTGGTCCCACGTCCCACATTCAAAGCGAGTCTCGAGGGCCTCAAAAGTCTGGCCGAAGGGTTTTGCTGGTAGGGTGTAATAACCCTAAACCCTAAACCCTAAACCCCAAACCCTTAATGTGTATGAACAGAGAAAAAGGGGATGCTATGCCAAAATGTTCAGACCTCTAAGTGAGGCCGTCAGTCTCTTGAGCCTTACAGGGCTGTCCGGCGGTCTCTGGGCTCAATATTAAAGCCCAACACCCTGAATGAATTAAAACCCCCGCCCAAGCTTCAACCCAGAACTTATCGAATCCCTGCCTTCACTTTGAACCCCAAGCATGCGTAGCAGTGCAGTCCCGAAGCCTTGAACTGAAAGTCTGGTCCAGCCCTAAACCTATCCCCCCCTAAACCCATGAGCCTGAACCCCGATACAGCCTCAAGACGGCTTGGGGTTAGAGTGTAGGGACCCTATACCCTTAGAGCCCTAAAGCATCTTAAAGCCTGCAACCCTAAACCCCTAAACCCTAAAACCTAAACCCTTGTAAGCTTTAGCCCCTAAGCCCTAAACCCATATAAACCCGAAGCCCCTAAACCCTAAACACCCCACACTTCGAAGCCTCATGAGCCCGCTGAGGAGGATGGTGGCTTTACGGCCCGGAGCTCTGGGATGGCAAAGCAGCGTCTCGACCCAGCAGATTCTGTTTGGGTTTAGGGTCTAGGGTTTAGGGCTTAATAATTTAGGGCCTAGGGTTTAGGGGTTTAGGGTTTAGGGGTTTAGGGTTTGGGGTTTGGGGTTTAGGTTTAGATTGCCGCTTTTTGATTGGTTAGGGTGTTCCGGGTCATGGTGTATCTAGGGGCTCGGGCTTTTTTAGGGTTTTCTGTACTGTTGTCCGGGATCGGTCGCACCTGATGCATCTGATGGTGCCGGTCGACGACTTTCAGAACCCCCAAGCCCTATAACGAATCTGCGCCCGAGAGCATGAACTTAACCCCAAATCCTGGACCCGTAAACTCTTGACTCCAAAACCCAAACCATTCCAAAACCGAAAGCCCCAATCCCCTGGATCAGGAGACCCCTAAACCCTAAACCCTAAACCCTAAACCCTAAGCCCAGGAGACGATTCAAGCCTTGGCAGACACCTTGCTACAGCGCCCGAGCTTTCCCCCGCAAGGACTTCAAGAAAGCCCGGGGCCCGGCACTACTGTTGTGAAAAGGAGCTCTTCGTGCTGCGGTGGTCTCTACTTGGAGGTTCGGTTTAGGGTTTAGGGATTATAGGGTTTAGGGTTAATAGGAGCTCTTAGTGCTGCGGTATAGGGTTTAGGGTGCGTGGTGTAGGGTGTAGTTGGGTTACATATTATCGGGTCTAAATTCTGTAAGGTGTTTAAAGGCCTGAACCTTCGACCAGGTCCTCGATGTTGGTTCGAAACCATGCACCAGGTTCTTAATTAGTATTTTGAGCTCCGCTGTATCTGCACTGGCATGTTGAAGTTGACATAGGTTTTTTGCGGCGAGTTTTGGATTCTGTTCTGTTTCCTGTCAAATGCTGTCTGAAAGCAGAGCGAACAGCGGGGCTTCTTTTTCTCCTGATGCTGGAGGTGAGCAAGAACAATTACTCTCGTGTGTCAGTGTAAGAAGTTGGTTCCTGCGAGCCGAGAACTGCAGACTCTGTTGTGCGCTGCATTAGTCCGTATCGGATTGTATAGTTTGTTTATCAAAAGACCCACACGAGGGTTTGGGGTTGCCTAGTTGCTTGATAGGCATTCGTGCCTTGGAACATTCACCGAACCTCATTTGACAACATCCTCGAACCCGGCATATATTCACCGAAAGTCATACCATCAAGCCCAAGGCCCGCATCCCCGATTTGCGGGCTGCAGTTTCCAATCCGAGAACCCTCATCGTTTGCTCGTGATGAGGTCTGTCTCTGGTCCTGGCGGAGTGGGAAAAGGGCTACGACGGCATCCTCGGGTGCTCCGCAGATTCTTATTCTTCCGGGACTCTAAATCCTTCTTAGATGTAGCACCTTTTCGGATGGTCCGGACATTAGGTTACAAGTGCCTTTGGCATCGTTGTGGTCTTGGGTTACCAAGTACTGTTTCATGGAGAGGTCGGTACTCGTACAATCGATCACCCCCTTCTAGCTCTTTTTCTTTTACAGTAGAAGCCCAAAAGTTGGAAACGCAATAGCCTCAATCCTTAAGAGTAATGTATAGGGAATCCCAGCACTATTTGTCCTTAATCCGGTTTCCAACTTTTTGGGGGTTTCCTGTAAGCTTTTGTTGTAAGATAAAGCACCCCGAAACCCTGATCTGGCATTCCACCCCAAAACTGGGCTTTTGCAGGAGGTTGAAGGTCTGCAAAGGTTTGTAGACGAACCTGAAGGTCCTCGAAGGCAGATCAGCAGTGGCATGTCGGCGTGTCTCGCTGCTGCGACTCTTGTTCTGTGTCAAGTTACGAGCCGCTAGACTAATAAGGCTAAGGAATTAGGGTTTCGGATATACTTGCTGGGCTCCACAAAAAATTACAGTGCAACATAGCTGCTGTAACATGAAACACCAGAGCACACGACAAACTCGTGAGTTCGCCCGTGGTGTGGATTCAGGCAGCGTTGGAGCTGCAGAGGCTGTAGTTGAACCCTTCAACACTGTTTGGGTTGCGAAGCCTCCATGCCCGTCTGCAGGCTTTACATCAAACACTTACAAAAAGCTTCACTCTCCCTGTATCAAACAATACACATGTATACCGAATTCGTTCTGAGCAACCCTACAGAAAACAATGGTCTTTGGGCCCGAAACCTTAAAACTCGAAGCTCTAAACCTTGTAAACCCGAAACCCGAAGGCCTATACCCGAAACCCTCAACCCCACGAAACCCAAAGGCTTGAACTTCAATCCCGATATACTGAACCCCTGAAGGACCCCTTATCATAACCCTTCAACAGCCCTTTGGGGCCCTTGAGAGGAGCCAACCCTAAACCCTAAACCGTAAACCCTAAACCCCAAACCCCAAACCCTAAACCCCAAACCCTAAACCCCAAACCCTAAACCAGAACCCTCTTTTAGAGCAATCCTATGCCAACTGTTACGAGACTCCGAGCCAGGTTCTCCCAGGGCGCCATCCTTGGCGCCGCGCTCTGCGCGGAGCTTCAACGACAGGGCCTCCCACCGACGCTTCCCTGGCAACTTGCAGGGTTAAGGGTGTGGGGGTTTAGGGCCAAGTTTAGGGTTTAGGGTTTAGGGGTTTAGGGTTTAGGGGTTTGGGGTTTAGGATTTTGTGGTTCGGGTCCTGGTGTCTCACAGGGTCCACAAAGCGTAGTTTAGCGGGGGTTTTCGGTGTTTGCTGGGAAGTCTAGGATACTATAGTATTCGAGGGCATGCGATTGTTCGGTGCTGGGGCTCTTCGTAATGAGTCTCGGGTGAGCTCCAATCATGCTTTTTCCGTTCACGCACACCGGATCCTTCCTACCCATAGTATATAGGCTAGGCTATACATATATATATATATATATATATATATGTATATATAGAGCCTATATAGCAGTATAACGGAGCTTTCTCGTATAAATCCTAAACCGCTTGGAACGGTGTTCACCCACCGAGCCGCTACAGAGGCCCAGATGCGCCGTGCTCATTTCGGGCTTTGGCAAACCCGTCCCTGAAGGTCCGTGGTTTAGGGCTTCGGGGGGTATTTAGGGTGTACGAAAGCCTGGAGAGGGCCTGGTGTTCGGATATCCGAGTCTACCCTTGGGCTTTCGGGCTGCTAAACCGAGGTTAGCTTTTCTGGATTGCGTTAAGCGTGACTGTCTTGTTGCAGAGATGCCCTTGCTGTGATTCCCAAACCTCGTAGGGACGTGGTTGGGTGTCATTCAAATATTATGATTCTTGCACTTCAGGGATTCACTTGCAAAGTGCAGCATTCTGACCTTAATTGGGCCCCGGTGCAGAGTACTCCCTCAGACTGTGGCCCCCCTGCCATACCCCAAGCGCCCCTACAAACCAGTCCGCCGAACCTTGACCCGCCCGTATCCTTAAACCAGATCCTTTGTCGAGCATAGTTCGCCCTTCCGCCAGGGGTCATTTTTCCATCTCAGCCACTGCCGATTCCAAGCCTCCACATCTGGGGGGCAGAGGACGGTTTAGGGCTTCTTTCAGAATTTTGAGCTGAGGTTGATCGTTTATTGGTTTGGGTCTTGAGTTTAGTGTTTGGCGTTTGGGGTTCAGGTTCATGAGTCCCTGATCCAGCAAGTGCAGTGTTGGCTCTGGGAGTTGATATGGCTTTCGCGCATAGATTGCTGTTGCTGCTACGCTCTTGCAGTTGTTGTCCTGCAGAACCGATCTCAACCCTAAACCCTAAGCCCGGCTTCTCGTGAAGGGCTCATTCATTGAATCCGGATTGTATAGTTCACGCCCAATAGCAACCGTATAATTCAACTGCTTCGACTCCCTAAATACTGTACCTCCAAGGCCCCAGTAAGCTCTGAAAGGACGATATTTAAACTGCTTCGACTCCCCAAATAAGGTACCTCCAGGGCCCCTAAACCCTAAACCCTAAACCCTAAAGGACGACCACATCCCAGCCTGGGCTAGCGAAGCCTTGGCAAGTCGCTTCGAGGCCGCGAAGACGCACGCCCACGGAGGTGAGCTGGGACTTTCCTTGGATCCATGATGCACAGTGGCCTGCAAGAGGTTCCCATGCTATTTTAAGACCAGCCAGTATATATATATATATATATATTTATTTATTTATTTTTTCCAGCGGTAATCAAATGACAGGTGGGGGGAGTTCGCGTGTGGATGCTTTAGAGAGCCTGTCGAGGTTGGATTCCAGAGTTTTGGGGCTCAAGTCAATAGTGCAGGTTTTTCGAGTTAAGGTCAGAGCTTTGAGTTTGGGGTGCTAACCAAGGGCGGTTGTGCGTTACTGATGTTGAGTTGTTCAATGGTCAGCTGGTGTTGCCACCTTCCGTACAGGGACTGACGGCAAGATCCGAACGGGAACTGCTCCACCAGGCCTATAAGGAGGATCATTGGAGTGGATGGTCGGGGATATCCAGGCATGCTAAACCTATACTAACGGAAACTACAGGTGGGGAGGTTAGGGTATATGGGGCTTTTATAAGGCTTCCATAAGGTATATAGACCTTCTATAAGGCTGGTATACCGGTAACTACCCACCTGAAAATGTCCTAGACTATAATGATTAATAATCTGCGCATATCTAGCCATGCAGAAAAGCCCAAGCTGTAAGCCGCCGGGTTTAGGGAACGGAGTTGCCCATGCAAGCCAGGCTTGACATGGTTTTGGCTTACGGTTTGGCGCAGGGGTTGGGGATCTGAGTTTACTTAGGGTTTAGGGCTTATCAGATTTCGTGGAAGGATTTTGGGATTTGGAGTTTCGGATTTTTGGAAAGTCCCATAGGTTCATAACAGCAACCAGCTTTGTGTTTCAATGCCGTCCGCAGGACAGCATTTCGTGCCGCAGAAAGCCGCTGATTTGAATGTCGTGGTCGACTTCCTCAAGAGCAGTCTCCTGTCACGAACATGTCGGATGTCCATTAAGCATCAAAACACCCCAAGCAGTGAACTGAATATAGGGGCTTGAATAATTACCAATACTATTCTGGGGTTCTTTTTTGTAAATATATTATCAAGGGCACCAAAAAACCTATTCTAATTTTCAAGGCCCCTACATTAGCTTCTTGTGTCCTAGCTGCCGCAAGTCCATGTCCGAGTCCAGAGCCCGATAGGGCCCAGAGGTTTGGGGATCAGGGTCAAGGACTAGGGGTTTAGGGGTTTAGGGTTTTGGGTTTGGGGTTTAGGGGTGTAGGGTTGAGGGTCTAGGGTTTAGGGGTTTAGGGTTTAGGGGTTTAGGGTTTAGGGGAAAGTTTAGGGTTTTAGGGTTTAGGGTCTAGGGTCTAGGGGTTTAGGGTTTAGGGACTAGGGTTTAGGGCTTATAGGGTTTAGGGTTTAGGGTTTATAGGGTCAAGGATTAGGGTTTAGGGTCTAGGGTTTAGGGGTTTAGGGTTTAGGGTATCGGGCCTTTGGTTGAATTTCAGCTTCACGACCGAGGAGACTTAGGATTACAAGGCGCCCACAAGAAAGCCTATCTGGCTCGGAACCCAGCCCATACCCCCCTATAGTCCTGCACGGAAGCCTGTGAACCTTAAACCCAGGATATAAATATAGGGGCCTTAATAATTATTATAAGGTTTTTGGGCCAATTATACCATAATTACAATAAGGAGCCTCCCACATAGTATTGGTAGTTACTTAGGCCCCTAACCCTGAACCCTAAACCCTAAACCCTAAACCCTAAACCCTAAACCCTAAACCCTAAACCCTAACCCTAAACCCTAAACCCCTAAACCCTACTGTACATTCGACCCTTCACCTGAACCCTAACTCTTGAAGCCTTCCCGATTGTACTTGCGAAGCCGGGCGAAGCTTGTAGCCCGAAGCCCGAAGCCACCGAAACCATGCGAACAAGGTTTAGAGTTCAATTCTTCGGATTTTGGGTGGAATTTTAATGTTTGTTTAAGTTTAGGGTATTGAGTTGTATTTAGGGTTTAAGGCTTTGGTCTTAAAGTTTGGGTGCAGTCCAAGTCCAGGTCTCGATCCGGCGGCCGGCGCCGTTCCGAAGCCGGAGACGGCAGCAGCTGCAACGAAGGCTGCGCTTCCGGTTCCGAGTCGGGCACCCATGCCTGGACTGGAGGAGCAGGGCGCGTCTTCGTTTCAAGTCCCTGCCTTGCGCGTGCGTTTTAGACAGTGAGGGATGTAGGGAAGTACTTGAAGAGGATCAGGGGTCTCCTTCAAGGAAAACTGGAGGGCAAAATTCCCACAGCAGACAAAACCCTAAACCCTAAGCCCTAAACCCTAAACCCTAGCCGATTTCCGGAATGTGCAACTCTTAGATTCTGAAGGCTTGCCGGGTTCGGAGGAACGTCAGACCGACTCTCTGAGCGTTCTGAAAGATTTGGACTTCGGGAGTAGAGTGAAGGGTCTTTTGGAGTTTGGCACTGCGCATTTGCGTCACCGTAAGTCACAAACCGGCTGTTGGTCTCACGAGCAGTCTTGCGAGTTTTTTTGTGCAAACAGTTGTCGTGATAGGAACATCGACCAAACTGATCGTGCGGAAGCACTGTGGGTTTTGAGTCTGACGAAAACAGGCTGCTGTTTTTTTCTGGAACATTTTGGAAAGCCAACTGTCGGATTTGACCCAAAAGGAAGAGAAGCCCCAAAGCCAATGGTCCACATCCCTCGACGAGGAGCTGAAAAATGCTTTGTCGGCCTACCGGCCGGCCGCAAGCTGTGGACAGGCCACCCTCGTGTCTTGTGTTGAAAAAGCTTGGTTTAAGCGCACACACACACACATTCACATCGATCGGTCTACCTACCTACTTAACTATTTACCTATCTGTCTGTCTACTTACTATCGATCTATCTGTCTGTGCTGGCTATCCATCTACCCGTCTGTCCGTCTGTATGACAGTCTTTCTGTGTGTTTGTTTATCTATCGATCTAGGTAGCTGCCTATCTATCGATATATCTTTCTTTCGTCCGTCCGTCTATCTCTCTCTTTGATTATGTGTACATATATGTGCAGCATACATCTGTCTGTATGTGTATGTTTGTATACATATATATATATATATACAGATCACTAGATATATGATCTGATATATATATATATATATTTATATTTATTTATATGTTTATATTTATAT